CTCTCAGCCATTAGTCATAATTCGACCCTGTCGAATATTTGATGAGGTTTTATGTCTTTAATTATAGGTTACGTTATACAATTTTGACTTATTATTCTGTTGTATACCAAACTCGGTTGTTCCAAAATCGTTCGGACGTATCTTAAGTTTATTAGTCTTTTTATTATTAACTTTACTTTATTCTTGTATATCCTCTGGGGCATTTTAAAAATTATAGTTGATACAAAATCTGAAGAAATGGAAGTCCTCAATTTCGGGAAGTTGTGTCCTGGTAAGCGATATTATTTTTCTTGCTTTTTATAATTACGTCTAATATTTTTGGGTATCTGTCTTGGTTTACTCTTACGAAAATATCTCAGTAGCTGTAGTCGAATGAGGTCTTCTTTATAAGAACAAATGTATCCACTAAGGTCCCGAAATTTTATTCACTCTCCTAATCACTAACATATAACATGATATCAATTTTTCGCAACTTGCGGAATGTACCTATTCCTGCATCCTCTGCACTTGATACCTTCCCAAATGTACAAAGTCAACGGTCTGCTGTTTGAAATCATCACGAATACTATGGCAGAGGACGCAGGACTAGGTACGTTCTACAAGACCTCTGTCGATCCGACTAACTTGCGTAAACGAGGTTAAATTATATGCTGTTTGTTCGACCTTGTTTTCGCAACTTGATCGGAGCGTCAGGCAAAACTTGTGGAACGTACCTAGTCCCATGTCCATAGTATTCGTAATTTCCAGCAAACATTTCGCCGGCATCGTCAGTGAGAGGTGCCATTGTAAGCACAGAGATACAATTTATCAGTGACAAGTGAAGGCAATCCCATTGACCAATTTTCTATTCAACCGTTGTAGCATCACCCCTCGTCCCTATTTGTTGTTCTACCCCCTAGTGCCCCATCTCTTTGGCTCAACCCCACTTCATATGGCCCATCCACTTATTCAAACAATTCTGTGCTCTCGTTTCCTCCAATGCCGCCTAGGAGTGTGTCGCTAAAAGTCGGTTTAGTAAATTGTAATTATCTCTATCACCGCTACCAGATGTCGTTTGCAGGGCTCCTGGCCTACATTTTGCCCCCAATTTTTCCTACCCGCTTGAACAAATGTTACATTTCCCTAGTATCGGCTGTAGCTTCCGAGCCAATTCTTAGGAGGATAGGCATCGTTTTTCCTCCGTTCCTCTTCCTTTTCTTACACAATCTCCGTCCTTCCATCTGTTCATCACCATTTGTTGCGTTGTATTGCTTCTTCTGGATATCCGTTTCTAAGAAACATCTGAATTAGTTTTCCAAGTTCTTTTTCTCAGAACTTAGAATCAGTCGGTCGTAAGCTTCTTATGATCATACTCCGGAGTATTCCAATCTCCATCCCATAAGTATGGTAGGTTATTCCAGCATTCGATTTCTATCGGAAAGTTTTTCTCTTGAGAGTTTCCTCGGAGAAAATGACCACATCCAAGACCAGTAAGTGTCTGTTCTCTTCCACATCGATGGTTAATTTTACTTTTTCATCCATTTCCTTTGTGAAGATCAGGAAATCGTCTAAATTTTCTCTTTCATGCGACTAAATTGCGAAGTAGTCATCTAAATATCGTATAATTATTGTTACCTGCTGGGGTGACGTTTTGAAATTCTCCTCCAACTTGTCCATGAATACATTAGACGACAGAGGTGAGAGTGGCGAGCTCATTCCTGTCCATCACCACTGTAGCACATCCTTTGTCTGCTTGTAGGACTATTTCATCGTTTCTGTTCAATTTTCTATATATCTTTGTTTTTGATTGTTCAGATTACTCTTAAAATGTATTTATCACCTCTACTAAAATGTCCTTGATTGCCTTCTTTTAATTATGAATTGCAAAATTTAGTCCATTATGGAAGAACTTTGTGGTTTCCAGGTCAAGAGAGACGGTATACAAATTTACTACTTTATCCGCATTTCTTGTCTGGACTTTGAGACCCATCTGTCTAGAGGCATCTTCACTTTTTCCCGATGGTTGGATCTTGGGCTGTCTATATATTTCTTATTTATTCAGCTTCTGGTGCCTTTTTTGATTAAGTCCGATATCCTTTTCGCCATTTTGACTGTCATCTGTAGTTTCAGGAAATCTTCCGATGTGAAAATCTGATTTAAATCATGTCTCAGTCTAGATGTAGTATCTAAGACCTTAATTAATTTCCCACTCTTCCTATTATGTCTCCAATTTTTGCAAATAAGCTTAAAATAATATAGAATTCACTTTATGGGAATGATAATTTCTCATCAAATTGCAAAAACTAGGAGTGATGCCATAACGTTTACAACAGTTAAGTAAGGTCAAATGACAATATTGACTTACGATCTGCTGTGATCGGTGCATTTACTGGCAATCTTATCAACGTAATTATATCGTAGATATGAAGACCAAAGTGGTGTGGCCTTCTGTTTGGTCGCAGTCTTCTTTAGCTTTTTAATTTTATTGGTTCGACCTTCTTTTCGCAACTCGGTCGGATCGTCAGGGTGACCTTGTGGAGCGTACCTAGTCCCGTATCATCTGCCATAGTATTCGTGATTTCCAGCATTAAACCATTAGTTGAGTACACTCCAAACAGCAGGGCAGAATGTAGGCCATGAGCCCTGCAAACGGCATCTGGTACTTGTGGTGGAGATGATTACGCTTTAATAAACCCACTTTGAATAAGTCGATGGGCCATATGAAGTTGGATTGAGAGAAAGAGATGCGTCACTAGAGGATAGAACAAAAAAATAGGAACAAGGAGTGATGCCACAGCAGTTGAACTGAAAATAGGTCACATTGATGAGTTGTAATTCTATGCTTACAAGGGCGCCTTTCACTGACGATGCCGGCGAAACGTTTGGGAATATACCCAATCCAATGCTGGAAATCACGATTAGGTACTAGGTACTTTCTTTAGTGTCTCACTGACGCCCCGACTAAGTTGCGAAAACAAGGTCGAATCAACAACATTATAAAGCTAGAGACAGCGACTAAGCAGAAGGCCTTACCAACTTGGTCTTTATATCTACATAACTATATGGTTTATGAAGACTGACAAAACAGAGGGTCATATCATCTTGGTCTTCATACCAATAAAACAAGTTTGTTTTTTTAATAATTCTCAATTTTGCCTTGTTGAAACATCTTCTTGATCCTTTCCTTTTATTCTTATCTAGATTTTCAGCAGATATCATATGGAAAGTTCACAAAATGGCTTTCAGAATTAGTGGATTTGGATAACCTCAGCCAGAAACTTAACTCCAAGAAGGCAATCAAAAGACTTTCCTTTCTATATCAGGAATTATATAATTACGCTCAGGAATGCTTAGAGTAAGTACTTATTCTATTCATGTTTAAAGATTTTTTACTATTGTTTGAACAAACTAATAAGGGCTGTTCATCAAAACCTATTAGATCATTATGATATTCTTAAGCTTATTATTCCAATCACTCAGTGTTATTATGCATGCTTTTCTTGTCAACTGCATTTCAAGCTGTGTTTCCATGTTTCACCACAAATTTCCCCTCGACCATTTATGTCATATTCCCTTACCTTCACTAGCCACATTCTCGATTACTTATCTATTGAGTGAATTTTATGCTATTTATTGAGGCTGTGCTCGAAGTTTATGGGGTTCTTCAGACCAGTTCAGCGACTAGCACATTGCTTAAAAGTAACGTCTCAATTACTCCTATATGTCATTTCTTTATTACAGTCGTCATTTTTTACTGCCCCGAACGCACCTTCTTCTGCACAAGGCTTTCATTCTTCTCAGCCACCCCGCCATGGAATCAACTAACATGAACCCTATATCTAGTTATTCACTTCCTGCTATACCCCGACCCAGTAGAGTAGCCAAGCGTCTGCTGCCACTTCTGCTTCGTCATCCCAGTTTTCCTTTTATCCTTTTTGGAGTGCAACAAGCTACACGGGTCACTCCGTCTGTCTCGGAGCTGCCAGCACTGGCCGAGATGCACACTAACCGTCCCGCATGTTTTGAGTTGTTAAGGAGTGGGTGCTCTAGGCCTCTTCATTACTCATCTTTAAAGAATATATATATTTTTGATTCTTATTATCTGTGTTGTTAATCAATTCATTAATTGATTCGTAATTGATTTGCTTTACCAACAGGTAATTTCACGGCTAGATTCAATAGTTTTTTATTCGTTACATTTTCATCTTCGATACGACATGTTCCTCTGACTACGTTGATATTTATTTGAAATTCATGGTTTTGAGGGGCAATTTTTCTCAAGCACCGTTCCATATATAATCACCACTTTAGAATATCATGGCTTAGGCCTATCTTATGATAATAAGCCAAATTGAGAAAGCACAAGTATGTGAAAATATACCTTAATTTTAGACGTAAAAGTTAAGGTTCTTTGAATGTTTAGCAATTCTTTATCCTAAACATCTGATACTCTTCTTTCCTTATTTCACAGCTTCTGTTTTAGCTCTAATATCCTGTTTAGCTTGCAAGGTACCGAAGCATTTTGCCTCTTTGATATCACCTTCCAAAAGTTTCCTATCTGGTCATCTTCCTATATTGGCATGTCTCGCAGCTTATAATGGCACCCTTAGCAAATCAGGTAATCTTTTTATATTTGTTCATTTTATCTCTGAGTGATACCTCCAATTTATATATGTTTTGAAGCTTACTACATATCTTGATTCTGTAAGCATTATTATCAAGCCTATGTATCCAAATAGTTTTCGACTGCTTCTTGGGCTAATCACTTCTTTTCGTGAAATTTTGACTTGGCTTATCAAGCTCCATCTTACATTGCATTTTAGATATCGAATGGGTTTTTAGCACTCCACTTTTTCATCACCGCTATGTTAATATGATGCCATATTTCTTATTATAAATATACGGGATATAAACCGATGGCGATAGCCATTTGATGACTTATCAATAAACACATTGGGCACTAGCTACCACTTAGATTTTGCTGATTTATTGATTGCAAATCATTATCTCTTGGTTCTATTTGTTTGATTTACTCAAAGTGATTATATGATAGCATTTAAATTTCCCTTTATTATCCGTTGATTACTACGACAGATTTAATTGCAGTTATGCGAACTTCACAAGATATGTGTTTAGGGCTCTTTAAATAATCTTTCCTTATAGGATAGATTGTCAGGAAACGAATTCTATCTTTAGTACGAAGACCATGCTGACAAGTTCTTTAGTTAATGTAATTGGCTTAACTCGACACTTTTACATATCGGTGCTAGGGATAGCATTTCTCACCCATGATAACGGTGAAACTTATCGGAATTTTCTCATCTAACTCTGGTGATGAAAGAATGCATGGCATTAGTGGCAGAGGACGAGGGTTATGCCATTCGAGGCCTTCCTGTTGCCACAGTCAAGTTGGGGAAACGATGTCTGATCAATTCCATACGATGAAATGAGGTTACTACCAAAAAAGGCCAAACGGTATTGGTTTTCTTACCTACACTGTATGAATTTAAGTAAAAGTATGGATAATGATGCTGAGATGGGTATTTTAAATAAACTCTTTCGAGAGAACGTCTGACAGCTTTCTGGGTACTGTAATTCTTCGCCATCTGTCTCTAATGATAGCCGGATCTATTTTAGTCTCTTATATTCCTTCGCAGCACTGCATTTTTTCCATATATGAGATCGAATCTGATGTTATTTTATTATCCACATCGAGTCCACTTATTATTTAATTTAGTAATATCTTTATTTTTTTAATCTAATTAAGACTCGATTACTTTTGCTCTGTTTTCGGTAGAAACTCTAATCCGGATCCTCTCATTGTCTCGTAGATCCGTTTTTTATCTTTCTGGTTGACCGATTTCATTCGGTTCCAGTCCCAGTGTGCATTTCACTCCAGGCGCTATTTATCAAGAACCTAGAAGCACGTACACTGCCGCTTCACTGAACATAGCGCCTAAGCTCTGATTCCCATACTTGTAGATATCAGTTCTTCCCTTCACGGGTCGTCCCCTTGATTAAACCCATGTTATCGGAGCAAACTGTGGACGCCTATATTTGGTCTCATGTGGCATCTCAAGAGGATTTATAGCATATTTTAGCCATAACGCCGAATTTCCGTGACGGTTTGCTTATCCGTCTGCCCAGCTCCCTGACTGTCAGGCCCCCAAAGTTGTACTGGTTTATTCGAAATAAAGATCACTTACTGACAACGTCTTCGCTTGATTGCAGCAAACCCTTATCCCCCACTTTCTTCATCGCTATCTTTTTTCCTCCGGTTAGTGATAGATCCTTGATCCATGCGTCTTCTTTTTGCTGGTCTTGCTCTATTCTTGTTTTTCCTGAATTTGCTAACCGGAGGAAAAGAGACCGATATGAAGAAAGTGGGGGACGGTTTTACGGCAATCAAGCGAAGACGTCGTCACTGAGTAATGTCCATTTCGAATAAACCAGTACGAATTTGAGGGCCTGGCAGTCAGGGAGCTGGGCAGACGGATAAGCAAACCGTCACGGAAATTCGGCCTTTGGCCAAAATGCACTAGAAATCCACTTGAGATGCCACATGCGACGGGGCATAGGCGTCCACAGTTTGCCTTTTCAAACGAAATGAAAGGTACTCCAACATCATCAAGGGGTTCTTCGTAACCAAGTTTTTATACATATTCATACATATTTACTTAATATGTTAACCTTACTTGTTAATCTCTTTACTAATAATCATTTTTGTAAATCATTAGTTTAACATTAATTTACCTTTATAGATCAGTATCTCCTTCGACTTATCTATATACTCGATCTTCATGGCGATCCGCTCTCTAAGATATTGTAAGTTATTTTTGGATTTTGAGATGCGCACTGAAAATACCTGTTTTAATTCTATTGTTGCCCTTTGGACCAAGGATAAAGAACTATAAAAGTCATAGATTCTACCTCCATACCTAATATTAGACTATGACAGCATGGAATAGCATAATATAGTGTATTATGACATGATAGCATTGTTATTTCTAGGATTCCTACACTTTTTGATAT